GATTTTAAAAATTAATAACAAAATTTAATACCTGGCAAATACTGTTATTAATATTGTAAGATATGTCCAACATGATAGCACATAGTTGCTATTAAGCAAACTACTATTATTTCTCTTGGGGAATTGTTTTTAATTTAACCTTAAAGGTAGACTAAAACACACTTACATGGTGCACATTTACACGTGGCGGTAAAATACTCATACACATAAAATCTTTTTAAAAAAGACTTAAAACATTGAATTATATTCAACTTGAAAATAAATAAATTCTAGGCCATCAACTAAAAATATTATAGTTCAAAAACACGATTTCAGTCTTACCTTCTTCAAATATTGTGCTTAAGGAACACTGCCCATATTCAGGTACTTGCGATATGAATCAGAAACAGTTTAGCAATGACCCATGAAGATCCCAGATTAATACTCTACACTCTTGTCTGGCTACACTGGATCGCCTCAAGGTTCAGGATGATGCATACTCACTTTTAGAAAGGTTAGGTTTTTAAAATGATGCCCACTATAAAATCCAAACTACAGTGTGGGTTGGCCAGGGAGATACAGCCCAAGTACTTGTTTTTGTAAATGGCACTTTACTGGAATAAGTCATTCCCACTGATATGTCTTTGGGGAACTCTGGAGCTGCTATGGCAAAATTATGACTGTAACCATATGGTTTGCAAAGGCATACCTGTCTAAAAGAACATGTGATAACCTCTCTAGATCACACACAGTGTATCTGTTTACGAGATAGAGTCTCATGTAGCCCAGGCTGGCCTTGAACTCATGTGTGTAAGCACTTCCCAAGTGCTTAGATTAATCACCTGGCCTAGAGGGTATTTTTATAGCACCTGTTATGCTCATATTTCCAAAATTTCCTGGTTTAGGGCAAAAAAGAGACTTTAATTCAACTGAGATAATTACAATTCTACATGACACATGATTACAGTCTGATTGTTCTTGCTTTGGGACGAACAGAATGAAGCATGCTGGGCTTGACATTTATACTGACTGCTGTGCTGAGTTGCCATTCCACTTATGGGTGTCAACTACACACATTCACTTCAGTTCCTTCCTTTTCACACTTACTTTGCTACTGTCAAATCTCCCAGGATGCATCTTTAGCCTGTCTTTTCTCCTGTATCTTCTCATTAGCTGTGCTAATGTTTCTCATGTACTCTGGGTTTGGGGAAGGCACTAAGGTGTGGCTGCCCCACTGCTTTGCTATTATTTACTCATTCTTTGGCCCTAGCTAATACTCATTTTGTGTTTTAAGATTTGCTTAGATTTAGTCACATACTAAGTCTTCTTTCTGATTCTTGGGTCTTGTTTCTTCTTGAAGCATATCCAACTTAACCACTCCAATTGTTGCTCAAGGGTACCAAGTCCCTCCAGGCTTGGAGCAGCCTTGGATCAGCTCCTTTTGTAAAATGTTCTCTGGTACATGGTTGGAAATGTTTTCTCGACTGTACCCTCCTTGCCTTGTGCATTTCAAACATTCACTATCATTTCTTGTCTGATGAATCCCCTTTGTATGGTACAATGCAGGTACTGAGTAATTCATTTTAAAAACATCTCTTCTGTCACTATGGGGGAAAACGGTTAGCACATGGGGTCAGACCTCAGTCCTGAAATGTCTCATACTTGTAGTTCTGTTTTCTAATTTATCAGCTCAATAATCAAACATCAGTCTGCATGTCTTTCTACCTATAGATACAACTAGGTTCCATGCCTCACAACTGCTCTCATTAATTCCAAAAGGGCATTCTTTAGTAGAGATAACAGACCGTTCAATCATACATCTTGGGACAGATCTTGATTCTATCACATTTTGTTTGGAATCACGCCATGCAGTGAGTTCTTTGAAGCAAATGGCCTCCTAATCCATAAAAACAGATAATAATAATAATAATAATAATAATAATAATACTTGTGGTATTTGATGTAAGAGTAAATTATTACTTATTAAAGTTTTGATTAAAATAGTTTAGTCATTTTGATTCTGTGTCCTCTTAGTGGTGATTATACTGTTTCTAAATTGCTGTGTATTATTTGCTTTCTTCTCCTACACTAATAATATACCAGTGTGAAGAAGTGAGAAATGTGAATGATTCTAGAATCCATAAGGATTTAGTTTTGATTACAAGCAAAGCTAGATTTAATGCAAATACTGACTGTATCTTTGAAAATATGCATAGGAATAGCTCTGTTTCAGCAATTAAGAATTTTTGAAAGCGTACTATTGCTTAAAAAAAAAATTTTGTTTTTGGCTAACAAAACAACAGGGTGTCCATTAAAAAAGCCCATGCAGTAATAAAATCAAAGCACTTAATTTTGAGAAAGGAAAACTAAAACCTTCTCCACTGCTTTCAAAAACGTTAAAATTTATTAAGATATCAGATTTACACAGATGCACTAAATCTGCCAATATAGCCTTTTCTGAATGTTACTGACAACAAAAATAATGCTTAGGCACGAAGGAATATAAGTAAAAAACAAACTAGTTAAAGACAACTCTAAATAATTTAGCAACATGGTACTTGGTTACAGAACATTTATTTTAGGAATTCTTTATTATAGAAGAATTCTTAACAATGGAAATTTCTAAACATAAGGTCTAAATGAATCAAGAAGAACACTTTGGAAATAAGGAATGCGGAATGGTGGTCTGGGTCTTCTCTAGGATAACTGTACCTTGCTTTGTTTTTTCTAGGAAGAAACACAACAAGAAAAATTGTTCTGATCTATATAGTTCAAGATATGGTTAAGAGGAAAGAGCATATTTAGGAGCAGCTAATTTAGTAAATAATCCTAAACTAAAATGATCCTACAGAGGTTTTAATTTTGAGAGATAAACACTTGGCTGAATAGAACAGGTCAGTTCGAGAAGGTATGTTCCTGGCTGCCACCCTCACCTACTGATGGGCTGAGTTCACGCAAACTGAGTCAATGACGAGGAAGAACTGATAGACAAAAAACTGGACAATGACACAGTGAAGGGAAGTGTACACACATGCTCTCACAGATATCAGATTCACGAGAATGGTAAAGAATTCTATTTTCATTTATTTTGGTTTTCGAAGATCTGGATTATTCATAGCAGTATGATATGCAGTATTTAAAAATGTTGATAAATAGGCAGAAAACAAAACGAAAAGCAGTGGTGCATCTTTTGCAAATGGTGCCCCTGCCCACAGCCAAGATGCCTGAGCCAGACCTCAGGGCAACTGAGGGTACTGCAGAGCAGGCTGTAGAGACACTGGGCTGGAAGGTTTTGGAGGATGTGGACCCCTGGCCTGGAAGTTATGAGATCTGCCACTATGGACTAGCCAAGTAGGTCAGCACTTGCGTGGAGTCTATGATGAAAGTCTTCTATACTGTAGGCTACAACAGTCCTTTCCAACTACTCGATAGAAATAATGAAGTGTGGTTGACTCAGAAGAATGAACCCTCCAAAGAAAGTGAATGAGAAATGAAAGGAAGATCACAGCCAGAGGCAATTCAGACATCAACAACACCCATGAGTGTGTCTTCTACTTGAAAGTACTGCTCTGAATTACGCTTATTTCCAATGTGCCTTTTTTTTCGGTCTTTTTGAGACAGGGTCTCCCTGTAACCCCAGCTGTCCTGGAACTCACTATGTAGACCAGGCTGGCCTCGAACTCACAAAGATCCGCCTGCTTCTGCCTCCTGAGTGCTGGGATTAAAGGTGTGCGCCACCACACCTGCCTTTTTAATACTTGAAGATTTATTTAGATACACAGGGAATGGGACAAATCTGTAAACACGTAAAACATAACTCTGGTGGCCTCTATTTCTGTGAGGATTCAGGAAATACCATTCACTTTCCTTTTATACCATCACCATCATGTTGCCTTTCCCTGCTTTGACCTGACAACATATGAAAGTTATCTGCTCCAGATAATAGCAATAAAATAGTAAAGATTTAAACAACAACAAAAAATGAAAAGCACATATTTAGAGATACCTAGTAACTGTATATTTAATATGAAGTTAAGAGTAGAAATAAATATTCTCCTTGCCTCTGCCTCCCAAGTGCTGGGATTAAAGGCATGTGCCAACACGCCCAGCTAGGGCTATGTCTTTAAGAAGTTGTGAAGAAAGTGTTATAATGTGCTACATCTTTCCTAATTCTCTCCATATTGTTTGAAGCTCAAGCTATGAAACATAAAAGGCCCCTTCAGTTTTAGTTATAATAAATGTTATTCACTGGTTAAATATTTTCTGTCAGGCACTCTTGCAAACCTTTATATACATTTGCTAATTTAATTTCTCTTTTTTTTTCTTGCTTCTTCCTTTTAAAGTAGATTTACTCTAAGATCCCAAATGATATTACAATTAGTAATTTTCCTGTGTATAGCCATAAAATATAAGCTTGGGACTAATATTTGTGCCTGATTTTGTAAATTTCTTCCCTTACAACATGCAGTAACAGCTAAAAAGGCTGTTACTAATTGGTCACTCCTACGGCTGAATTCTGAACTCTATCTTAGCTGATATTAGCAAAGATGAAAACATCAGAAAACTCCCAGTGCTGTAACCATGTCATTATATCAACAAGCTAGATGTCTTAAGAGAACCCTGACAGCAAACTACCTTTGATAATCATTCTCAGTGTGGACTACAGAAAATAAAGCTTAAAATTTCACACCAGTGTGACTCCGAGCATGGTTTCTGACCCCATGGTGCAGTACACAGTTGTGCTCATCCATGGTAACACTTTCTACATCCCTAATGCCTGCTACTTCAGCTGACTTCTTGTAATATCTTTATCTTCATGAAGGAGACCAGGCAAAGCTCTTTAACTACCATAAACTGGAAGCAAACAGTTTGTATCCAGTTATAACTAACACTGTTCTAGACCTCAATTTTGGATCCTGTCTCTGCAGCCATACATATTTTAATAAATTAACAAATACTTAGCGTAAATAGTTACTCAGTAATAAGGGTTAAAAAAAAACATTCAAAAGCAATGGCCTCACCTTTGACAGAAGCAATTTCACACAGGAAACATGACCCTCATAGACAGCAGACAGAAGAGGGGTGATATGGTGTTTATCTGGAGCCTGCAGAACAGCAAAGAGATCATCTTACCTACTTGTCATATTTTACATTCTTTCTACACTTAATTAGGCAATTCTTAGGATTATTTCAAAATTAATCCTATTTCCTATCTATATAAATATCACTCCAGAGAGAAGTTTCTAGTCTCTTAGAAAATTACTAAGAAGCCCAAGCACACAAACACTATCTCTTCTTGGCAATCAGTGTGGAGTAGGGCTCTGACCCAGGTTCAAATCTTCTATCTGCCATTGATTATGAGAATCAGTTTAGTCTCTCTGACCCTCACTTGCTCTCTGTTGCAGAAATGCCAGCATGGTTCAGGACATTAAGAGCAGGGTAAAACCACCAATGAGGAAGCAAAAGAAGACTGCTGAGTAGGGCCAACTGACATGGTGAAAAGTTCATCTCTTTCACTATTATGGTTACTGAAACACTTTTCTAAAACCCTGAAATTCAGAAGTTACAAAAGGTTCAAGTAAGGAGATCACTATTCTGTCAGACAACTTGCTCACCTTTGCCTCATAATCCAGTTTAGATGTAGACTATCACTTCAGGGCCCTATGCTCCAATCCATGATAGCATTTACTACTTATAGTGCTACCTCCCCCAAGTTTAGAACTTGAAAAACAACAGCCAAGGAGAAACAATGAATCCTCTATTCATCAGCTTAAAAATGCATGATTTTATAGGAATATATAATTTAAAGTAACTATTTCATAAACCCATAGAAAATCACCCAAAGCATACAATAGATTTGTTTCCTAGAATGACATACATATGCCACTGTTAATGTGTGTAATGTATGTATGTATGTACATACATTAATATCTGCTCCTTTCAGCAGCAGAAATTCCAGAATTTCAAGCTGTCCACAATCTGCTGCATAATGAAGAGGCTTCCTTCCACCTTCTAGTGTCCGGTTGACATCTTCTCCCTTGTAAGAGAAGCCGAAAAGAAGGTTTATACCAGTAGGTAACCACAGAAGACAATTTCAAATCCTGGGATCTTGTACTTTTATTGACATGTGCTTTATTTCTTCAGAGAAACCATCATTACTTTGATGAAGGTAGCCATCTTTTACGATCAAGTGCAGTCATAAAGCAGGCACTGTACTAGGCACTGCGAAGACAACGGTGAACAAAACCAGACATGAATTTACCATCTAGTGTATAGAAAAGACAGTAATAATCACATAATTTGAATGTATTAGTGCTCTATGAACAAAAACAAAGGAACTCAGAGTTACATAGTTATCAGAAGACTATAACTTAATCTTGGTGACAGGGATATAGTGTCAGAAAATGAACTTAAGGCCTCAGAAAGTTTCCAGTCATGGACAATTAAGAGATTATCTTTTCTAATGACCAACCCTTATGTTTTTGGTACTGTGTTACATCTTTAAAACTACTCAGGATAAGGAACTCTGCATACGTAAAGTATGAAGCTGAACTAGATGACTAATTTTAAAACGTGGTTCGGTTAGTAACAGATTATAGCTCTAACATCATTCTCTTTCTATACCACAGTGATACTTCTAATTCAGAATCTGCCTCCTTTTCAAGGAGAGTTCAGATTTTACAGAGCAGTGAAATGCCCAAAAGATTATTATCTCAATCACTATACTATCCACTTGGCTTAGCTCAGTCAATTTGCCAAACCAAACCCTGGATCAAGATGACAGAGCCCTATACTTCATAGCCATTAGCAGCTGTGCTTTCAAACACCTAAATTCCCCCTTTCCTTCAGGCCAGTCCTTCCTTTTCAGTAATGTGTGTACTACAGATTCCCCAAGTCCAACCAAATTCAAGACTTATCTACATAATCTTCCCTAATTATGGTACACTCTTCCTCTCTTAAATCCACAGCAATCATTTTAGGCATATGGCTTTACTTGGGTCAGCCAAATTAATCCCTAAAACAATGCCACCAGAGCTAGGCACTTTTATCTTCATCTTAAAGTATGAATGCTTATGTACACAGAGCATAAGAAACTTGCCTAGTGTCTAATGTGATGAAGCATATATTCTTAACCCATACATCATACTGTAGTAAGACATAAAAGAAAATATATGATTCTGTTCTCATGGCACTGTTTTAGGGATTAAATTGGATGACCCAAATAAAGCACTTAAACTATTATTAGCTAATGGTAACAGAAATGATTAGTTACTTTTAAATACTGTCCATGTACTTAATAGCTATACTCAAATACTAAGTTCCAAGAGGGCTGGCATTATGCATCTACATCAGTCAGTTGGGGCATCATAGCATTATGTTGGGAAACTAAACTCTACTGTGTTCCCCAAGTCTCAAATGCATGTTTCAAATATATTGCCTCTTTAGAAAGGCTGAATTTCACCAGAAATTATTTTCCTTTTCTGAGTTAACAGATGATAGAAACAAACCCTTTGAAAGTTAAGGTTACCTTGGGGGTTCAAAGCAGTGACTTGTAATAAATACGCTGTTTATTCATGTCAATACAGTCAAACAACTAGGTCAGGGACATGCCCTGAAAAAAGGCGTGGTTAGGTGTTTCATAGTTAAATGATTCTGTTATTGAGCAAACATCATAGAATATACTTTATAGAAAATAAACTTAAAAGCCTGGCATGGTGGTGTATGCCTTTAATTCCAGCACTTGGGAGGCAGATCTGAGATGGAGGCCAGCAACCTAGTCTACATAGTGAGTTCCAAGCCAGCTGGGGTTACATGGAGACCCCGTCTCAAAAGAAAATATACTTAATAAGACAAGCTATAAACCTCCAACTTTTACCATGTAGTTACTGGACCACACACTATTCATTTTCTAAATCTGTTTCCTTAACTGTAAAATAGAATAACAATATCTATACCTCACTTAAGGTTTTAAGAGTTTAACTGAGATAATTTATGTAGAGTATTTAACATAGTGTCTGACACATGACAAAATGTTTAATAAGGCTATTACTTTTGTGGACCACTGGTCAGTCTCCCTCCCTCCGTCCCTCTGTCTCCCTCCTCCCTGCCTCCCTCCCTCTCTCTCTTCCTCCATCTTTCCTAATCTATCTCATCTATCTACTTTTGAGACAGGGACTCATGTAGCTCAGGCTGTCCTTGAACTGATTATATAGATAAAGATGATAGGCTCACAGGCATATATCATGACACCCAGTTTTATGTGCTACTGAGGCTCAAACCTAGGGCTTCATGCATGCTAGGCAAGAACTCTACCAACTGAGTCTTGCTGCCAGTTTATACTTGGAAGTACAAGACTATCCAAACTTGGGTTACAGTATAAGTTTCTGAAAAAAGACTGAAATACAAAGAAATACATGGCTTAACCTAATTTATTTTAGAAACAAATTTACATAGTAAGGGTGATTTGGTATATCTTCTTACATCCTAGTCTATTCACAACTAAAGAAACATGAGGCTTGCGGCTATAAGAGATACTGATTAAATCAATCACTTAGAAAGCTAGTTTTCCTTCCATTATTATTTCTTTTCCATTATTAGTATTATGTTGATAGATCTTTGTTGGATTCCTCTCATGAGCAGCTAGTGCTCTTAACTGTTGAGCCCTCTCTCCAGTTCTGCTTTTTCACTTTTAAGGGTTAAAGGCAGGCACTTGGTGATTAAGTCAGTCAGTAACTTCTCTGCTCCCTTTAACAGCCTAGGCCAGGAAAGGTTTTTCTTTTTTCTTTTCCTTGCACTTGTGGCTATGAAAATGGTACTTGAAACACAAACTGATAAAAATGGCCATGACTGTGTATTTAGCATTCAACATAAACTGGTTCAGCTACAAAGATTTAATACAACACAGGAAAACAAGCAAATAAGAATCATTTACACACTTTGATAGAAAAATGTTTTAAATGTACTGTTACTTTGAATTGCTTTACTAACAAAAATAGGCATGGGGTTGAAAAGATTGATGGGATCTGACATCAGAAAAAGGCATACTGCTCACACTTTGATTTACTTCAATATCTACTGGACTATAAATTAGGGGCAGTTTTACTTGCTTGGGATGAAACAGGAAGGGTTGACCCTGACTCTGAGTTAAGCTGTCGTTTGCTCTGCAAACATGTAAGCAATGAAGTGTCATTTAATTTCTGACAGAACAGCATATGTTCTAGGAACTCAATAAACGGAATGCCCAAAAACATACTCGTTGGCAATTTACCTTTCATTGTGACTTAATTTTTCAGGTATTTGTGTCTCATGTTGTTAGATTTTAAGGTCTTCATGGGTCAGAGACTGTATCTCTTCTTTTATTTATTTCTACCACAGTGTCTCATATGGTTCTTTTAAGCCTCGGCCACAGTTATGACTGCTGATTATGACAGCACATTATAACAGCAGTTATTCAGTAAGATGCCTACTGATCTAGTATGTGTACATATATACACACGCACGTAGGTACAAGAATATTCCTGGAGGAATTAATATATACTATGGTGTATGAATTCTTATTGGCCAGCTAGAAATCCAAGACGTTCTGTATTGTTGCTGTGTGGTGATGACCACGGTATTAGTAAAGCAGGATGCAGAGCCTTGTGTGTACTATTTGTCATCAGCAGCGCAGGTAGAGATATACTAAGAATATATAGCTGTAAAACTAACAACATTAAAAAATGAGAAGAGAACTTCAATAAATAAAAATTTTGACACTTTAAAAAATGTGTTAGTTATGTATTTTTATATGAAAAATAGCAAGAAAACCGGGAAAAAATCATAACCACAACAGAATGGTATTGTAAGGCTATGCTCCCTCAGCCTCCAGCAGATACAGGCTACAGCAGGCACAATGAACAATTGATAAGACTTTACATCAAACTTTGTACTGAGTGGAAAATACACCTATTTTCACTAGATTTAAGCAAAACTTGACTGTAAAAGACAAAAGAAAATCTCAATACGTGCCAAGTTTAAAACCACACAAGCCATTCTCTAGGGAGAGAACAAAATACCAGACACAAACCAGTACTAACTGTCCTAAATTACTGATAGAAGAGAGATACATTGAGTATCAGAATTCTGGACTACTTTGAAAATAGTTAAAATTATTACAATAAAGGTAAGATTACAGACAGAACCAACTGATTGGGGAAAAAAAACATAAAAATTTCAACCCACCAACTGAGTCATTTGTGAAGCGGTTAGTTAACTTCATATGAAATGACATTAAAGAAAAAACTAGCACAATGTACTAGATTTCACAGGCTTTCCATTTTTTGTCTCCTATTTTCTAACTGGTTTTAATATGAAATATAAACATACAAATACGTGGTATACTAAAAAGATCTTTATTCTAATTAACCCACAAATGGAAAAAATGCACACAGCTTGTTTAATTAAGGAGCCACTAGCTGCAGATTTCTCCTTTAACTCTTAACTCTTTATATGCATCTCAAATTATACTACATTAAGTTCATATGAAAAAGCACTCACAAACACGTTCTTTATATTCTAAATTAAATGGCTACCTCACTCCCGCCGATAACCTTCTTTAGGTTTTTCTCTAGCTGAAAAGAAACACATTGTTCTCTTTCTTTGATTTCCAAATGTGTATGCTTTGTGCAACTGAGATCTAAGGTACAATAAGTTCACACTGTACTGTCACAAGAGACCAATGTCCTCCAAAGCTACAGACTAAATTAGCATATGTGTGACAATTTTGAAGCACAGGCTGTAAATTAATATTGGACACCTGACTGAGTAGAAAGCAGTAAATATATTAAATTTACCAAATTCTACAGCTAAGCCAATGCCCCCCCAGTCATTCAGTTAACTGTATTTCCTGTCCCCATTTAGAATTGCTTAAGACTGAGGTGTTTTAGTATCTTTTTAATGACAGATCCTTCTGAGAAGAATGCTCTGGTTTATCATTTCTACGCTTGCCCTGTCTCATGCCTCCCACCTTTCCCACCTTCCTCGTTAGAAACTTTTACC